CAAACATTATTCCAGTGGATACATATAATTGAGTAGAGGCACCGTTTATTTAAACGATTTATTTATTTTCATCTACTGGTCTGAATATTCGAGAAATCTAATATAAAAAAATGCACGATATCCAGCAACACTGGAAAGAGTCGCCCTGTGCAGAAGAAACCGATGTTAGAGTGCGACTCGGCCACGAAGGGCGTTGCCGATAAATAAGCGGAGCGTCTACACAAATATGGGTAACACTGGGATAACGTTTGAAGTGATAAAATCTGCTGGATTAATAAATAAAAACAATTACTTACTTTTTTAGAAATTGCGATATATATATATATATATATATATATATATATATATATGATAAAAATATAGTTTTACGGTATGCTTTATTAGTTAAAGTGCTCGCTATGAGGGATAGAGCGTATGTAATTATAAAAGTGGACATTGAGGTTAACACCCAGCGGCGACAGTCTGTTTCATGCTTAAACGCAATCTTCAACCCATGTGCGTAGTGTTTTGGCTCGAAAATATATATACTGGCCAGTGATGCATTATGGGTAGGTCTATCTTATTATTCTAACGGTTATTTGGTGGTCAGTAATGGTTATACTAGAGGTTCTTGAGTGAAAATATTTGTGGATCCGAATGCCGTTTTGTGGCTATTTTATAAGTGTTGTTTTTTAAATAGCCTATTGAGTGTTTTGTTATTTTTTGTTCATTATTATTATTATTATTATTATTATTATTATTATTATTATTATTACCTTTACTTGTGTTTATGCGCGCATTCGTAGTTTGTGAATTTGTTTATTATTTACTTAATTTATTTATTTATAGATTAATACATTATACGTGTTTTTTTTCGTTTTTTTTTTTTGTATCTTATTTTTTTATTTATTTATATTTTCTTGTTCGTTTTTAGTTTTGGTTTATAAGTAACGTAGTAAAAAATTGTTGGTCTGGGAAGGTAATTATAGTTACTTTCTCCTCTACTGTTTACAGTTTTTGGATTTATTGTTATAGGCTGATATTGTTTTCCTTATTTTCCATGATATATTTGGTGTGATTTGGTTTTTGTTTTTAATTTCCCAGCAATGTCTGTGCCTTTCGTATATTCCCTATTTGTAAAGAATGTTTTGTGTGACTAGTTTCTTTATTTCCAGGGTCCTTCAGTTACCCCTATGTATATTTTTTCTTCGTTATCTGCTGACATTATATTCACCTGTAAGCAATTTCCGCTTAAGGGAGTTGGGTTTGTGCGGGTGGCATGTTGGTTGTTTTCTTGTTTTACTTTTTTTATTATTTGCGTCATGTTCTTGTGGGAAGTGTTTGTGTATAAGCTGAATGAATATTTTCCTACGTTTGTTCTTACGTTATTGTTGTACGTTGGGTTTAACCATATAAAGTTTCTTTTCATGTTACCTTTTTGAAGGCCGTGTGGTGTGTATGCGAGTGTTACTGGGAATCCATTATCTTTTAGGGTTGCTTCATAATTTTTCTTTGCTTTGTTGAAGAGGGTTTCACTGGAAGAATTGTCAGATGACCTGCGATTAACCGATTGTAAGATCTGCTTGAGTTATGATGGCGAGTGATTAGAAAATATATACATAGAGTGGTTTTTTACCTATATGGTTGATGTATACCTTTTCTTAGGTTGAATATATATATATATATATATATGTGTGTGTGTGTGTGTGTGTGTGTGTGTGCGTGTAAAATTTCAGATATAACTAAAATATATCTGTAAAACAACAATCTGAATAAAGACAAAGAAAAACTTCGCGCCCGATATTTTTTCTTAACCTCCTAATATATATAAGGACTTACGATGTTTTCAAATAAACGAACATAAATTAGAAATTTCTGTGCAAATCAAGCAAATTTGGTCAGTCTTATTCAACCCCGGTATATAGACTGAGTTCGTGTCGAAATTTATTAACCTTAAAATAGTTGATTATCTATACATCACCCTTTACCTCAATAAAATGTAATTCCGATACAAACTCAATCTATATACCGGGGTTGAATAAGACTGACCAAATTTTCGTCGGTTGAAATAGCTCTATTCCTCATATGAGGTAATGTTGGATTTTTTTATGCACTAATGTATTTGCTCCGTAATAATAAATACATTGAGCTCTTTTTGTGGATCAGTTTTAATATTTTATATCACAACGATCCACTTAGATTATATACCAACGGTTTTATTATCTTTATATATATATATATATATATATATATATATATATATATATATATATATATATATATATATCACCATCACCGTCATTATCATCATCTCCAAAATCGAAATCATCATCGCCAAAGTCGAAATTTGTTTTTAAAATCACGAAATGTCAAAATATCACAAAAAAAAATTAGAATAAAAAATATGTCACATTAAAAAATATTTCGAAATTAAGAAGAGAGAAAGGCGTTTGTTTTGGATTATCATTTTTATTTGAAATACTTCCTCTGCGTGATTATTAAAAAAAGTATTTGAAGTACT